GTTAATAAAGACAAACTGAAGGAAGGAACAAGTTACTAAAAAAGGGAGAAGAATTCAGCGCTGTGACTCCAAATAAAATTTTATGTGGGAATTATCTGTTGAAATATTACTAAATGCAAATGCAGGCGTTGGATGACCATGGCTGCATAGACAGGTCGCCATCTTGTCCCAAGGGTGGGTTTGCTTGCTGAGGAGAGACAGGCAGATTGGTGCTAAACCTGCACAATGGGGGCCAAGATTGTCAGAAATCTCACCATTCTGCTGACATCTGGATTCTGAAGGAAGTAGTCAATTAGTGGGGAAGAAAACAGGAACATAAATTCTTCAAATACTTGGCAAGCGTAAGAGCCGCTTATTTCTTTCTCCCTTTAAACAATGTGCAGGAGTCATTTGGAAACTGATCACATTCAACTCACACCGCCCATGCCTTCTAGTGCCTTCCACTGGTAAACCCTCACCTACGCTTGCTTATGGCTTAGTTGCAGTGGAACCGCCTCTCTGAAGTCTCTCTACTCTGGACTTGGGTCAGCTGGCATTATGCTTCCCTTTTCTCCATTGGGTGATCAGAGACCTTCGCATGACTCTTAGAAGACTGAGTCACTCATAAACCATATTTGTTTTATGCTGAGAAAACTAACACTGGACACCAAGGACTCTTGTGTCACGGTCTGTTGTCACTAATCTACCACCTACCTTGGCCTGAAACAGAGCAGCCTGACAGGCAGCAACTTCAACTTCCACAGTATCCACTCTCTATTTTCCCAGCTCCTAGGCTGGCTAGGCATTGGCTTCACAGTGAAAGGCAATGCTTTGCCTACAGTGCTTAAATATCCTTGAAGGAAACAGGACTGAAGCAACTTCCGACCACGCTCCATTACTTGGGGCTCCAATTTGTCTTCCCTGGCCCCCTGCACTTCACACTAATCTTCCTCACCCAACTGCCTGCCCTACCAACTTTAGGACCAGTGGCAAAGATGGCCAGAGGTTGACAAACTATACCCTCCTCCAGGCAACCTAGCCCTCTTCCTATTTTTAAAAGAAGTTTTATTGAAACATATTCATGGCATTACTTTATGGATTATTTAGGGCTGTGTCTGTGCAATAGGCACTGTAGACCTTCAAAAGCCTTAGATATCTACTATTTGGATCTTTTTTTTTAAATGGCTATATCAAGTCATGGCAAAGACAACAACTATAGGCTTTACATCAACTCCACAATCATGTAAGGCCAAGTCCCTAAATATTTATGTGCGTGCACAAATGTTTACATATTTACATATATTTACCAAGCACATCACTTCTCTGATCCAACCCAAACTATCTTGAAGTCTCTATCCCACCTCGTTCTTACAAAGCCAACTGAGTGCCCATGTCACCATAGTATTTTGCTATCGTGGCATTGGCCCTATTGAGCTGTAATTGATTTGTGTCTGGCTTCTTCCTCTGATCCTCAGATAAGCTTTATTAGGACATTGGGTGCCAGATGTAAGACGAACTGCTAAACCGTCTTATTAATAAAAACCTGGAGCCAAATACTGGGGTAAAAACTAAGAGATCAGAAAAACAGAAAGAAAACAGCCACATTCTTACCACTTGGAAATCCTCAGCCAGAGACCTACTTCCAGTATACCCAGGCCTATATGCCTTTCTGTTCTGCATCTCACTTCCTCTCTCTGCCCAGCTTCATCACTTCCTGTCTGTCTGTACAGACCTCCAGACCTCTATGGTTAGTGCTGGAATTAAAGGCATGTGTCACCATGCCTGGCTCTGTTTCCCAGTGTGGCCTTGAATTCACAGAGATCCAGATAGATCTCTGCCTCCTGAGTGATAGAAATAAAGGTTTGTGCTACCATTGCCTGACATCTATATTTAATATAGTGGCTGGCTTTTTCCTCTGATCCTCAGGTAAGCTTTAGAAGGGTGTACAATATATTGGGGGACACAATATATCGCCACACTATGCACTCCTTTTTTTATTGAAAAAAAATTTAGAAGCCTTCTTTCTCTAAAAGAAATGTTTGGCACATGCCGGTAGGATTTGCTGAAGGAGGCAGAGGCAGGAGGATCACGAGTTCGAGGCCAGAAAATAATTTTTTTTAAAAAAAGAAATGTTTGATAAAGAATAAGTAATTGCAATAATGAATAAGCTGAACAAGTGAGTGAATGAATGAATGAGGACAGGAGAGAGCAAAGGGAAACCTCTCTTGTCATTGGCTTTTCTGCCTTATGGAAATCCCATGGCCATGTCCAGTCCACACAGACAGGACCTGGGAGAAAAGCGGTTCACTCTGGATAGCTCAGCCTGGGCCACTCCCTTGAACTGAGTACAGTCCTGCATGCTTGGTATGATGGGACATGAACTTCCTTCCCAGAGCCACTTTGCCATCTGTGGGACCCCTCTGGGGAGGAAACCCTCTGCTTTGACAGGAGTCCGTTTGTTGGGTGGTGACTCTGAAATTACTGGGTCAGTGGCCCTCTGCCACAGCTCTGAGGAGAGTTCCCAGGTGCTAGAAAAGGGGACAGTGGCAGGTGGCTAGCACCTAGACATTGTGAAGCATTTCCATGTGGATGGCCTCAGGCTGGAACTTAGCTCCATGTCAGCTAGGGACCCAGAGGAGGTCAAGGCATGTGACTTCTCTGCTTCTAGTTTTACCCTTCCAAACTCTAAAGTGCTATGATTTTTGTGATCGAGAACTCAGCAGCAAAGTGATGGATTTTGACTCCTGCTTCCATAGATTTTCCCCCACCTCCATGTTGCCTCTGAAACAGAGGTCTCTTCAGAGAGGAGAATGGATCAGGATGGTGTGCTATTCAATAGACTAAGTTCATAGTAAACAAACATGAAGACAACTAGAATTTACTTAGCACTCATGGGCCCAAAGCTTGACTAAGCCCTTCAGTGTGTTATCATAAAGAGATTAGAATTGCTTACCACTGCCTTTAGAAACTGAATGGTGTGCGAGAGTCTCTCTCTCTCTCTCTCTCTCTCTCTCTCTCTCTCTCTCTCTCTCTCTCTCTCTCTGTGTGTGTGTGTGTGTGTGTGTGTGTGTGTGTATTAGAATATTCACCACATGGAGCAACACAAGTCAGTTCAAAGAGTGTGAGAATTTGCTTCCCTGCCCTGTCTCTTTGGCATGTAGTATGCATGCATACCTTCGTGGTTTGGGTAGCAACAATAAGATCAGGCTGTATTTGTTGACTAGCTGCCATACACACTGTGATAAGCTCCTTTGTTTCATGTGCTTTTATTTAGTCTTCTAGCTGCTTTCCATAATAAGTGTTATATCCATGTGATTGTGGAAAAACAGGGTCAGAGAGGTTAAGTAACAAGCCTGTGGCCTCACAGCCAGGTCACATTCAAATACATCTCACTGTAAACATTATTTTTTCTGTGTTGAGCTATCCTCCCCTGCAGTGTTTTGAGGAGGACTCAGACTCTCCTTTTGATACATAGGTATATCCATATGCCTTGATGCTTGTCCTATGAAGAGGTGTTTGCTAGCATTGTCATAGATAGGTCTGTTGCTGTACCCCACAGCCAGACACTGAATGCCATCGACTACCTGTCACATGAGAGAGTGATTATTCATTGTGTTAATGGCCAAGCTTTGAGGGACTCGGAATCAGCACCCAATCTTTTCCAGGTGAGGATACCGAACTTAGAGAATAGAGCTAGCTGCTCATCCAAGTTCACACTTAAATTCATCTATCTCTCTGTCAGGTCATCTTTCTACTCCACTGCCGCTGTCTCTCCAGCATCTGCCCTTCTCAGAAATTTAATTGTGTG